TTTTGTCTACCTTGACAATGAAGAACTTGATTCTTTTTGATTGTACAAGGAATATTTATCAAGATTTTGTCAACCTTGACAATGAAGAACTTGATCCTTTATGATTTTCCAAAGAATATTTATCAATATTTTGTCTACCTTGACAATGAAGAACTTGACCTTTTACTCCTAAATTCTGTTTTAGACATAATTGCAGGAAATTATAAAATACGTACATTTATCTTCAACCAACCTGAACCACAGAAGTTTTATAGGCCATCTTAATGAAAAATAGGATTACTTTGAAAACATAGGCTTTAATAGGTTCTATAGGTTCAATTAGATGACAAACTGAACTGCAAAACTATACCTGAGAGAGAGCTTCCATTTGCTGTTGAAGTTCAGCTTCTTTTGCTGGCAGAGATTCAGCTTTTTTTGAGAACTGTGACAGTTTCTGTTCAGTCAGTTCTAGCCTCTCTTCTAAAGCTCTAACCTTTTCTTCACTCTAAGAAAAATTAATAAAAACTATTCAGCATTCATTATAAATCAATTTGGAACGTCTTTTAGCTGTCTTAATGTTACCTTATAGTTATCTTTCTCATTATAAACTGAAAATTGTTGTAAACAAGGTCTCACTTGGATGGTTACTTTCTCAGAGGCCACTTATCAATTAAGATATATATGTTATAAATAAACAAACAAACACTACCTGAAACTGAAGTATTTTGATTGTTATTTTCAGACACTAAATATCAAAGGTATTCAGATTTTTATGTTCTTATGTAACGTTTTCCAATATATTACATCAAACATGTTCAGAACATTAATCCAATTAAATTACTATCACCTAGGTACTGGATCATGACTACCTATTCCATGGTGTTATCACTGTTATGTTATCAATAGAAATAAGCACTGCAGAACTAATGGAATATGATAATAAGATTCTTTATTAACACAATGGGCTAAACAGTTAAATCCCCTACCATAAAGCTATCCCTAGTTTAAACTGCAAACCATACAGAAATTAACCAGTCAAGTTCTATTAATCGAATGGTGGGATCAACTCACTCTTATAACACACCCACAAATGAAAGTGCAAAAAGTGTTTGGTAGCAACAAGTCTTGAACTCGAGATCCTCAGATACCCTGCCAAATATGCTAGTTATTAAGGACAATTTGGGACTATATACAATAATGGATAAAATTATAAAGCACTATTTTCTTAACTGACCAAAGACCCAGAAAATGTACAGCATTGTAAGCTTAAACCAATAAACGCTCCTATTTGATAATCAAGCTCATCATATACATAAATATAAGTTGTGTATTGTTTATTACATTAAAATATGTCAATGTATTTTCACCAAAAAATCAGTACATAAATACAAACTCTATCTTCAAGTTATGTTCTCATAGGTGAATGTGTTTTATTATATGCAAGTTGTATCCATCATTATGCTGAAATAACAATTGTTGTATCATCAGCTTCCCATTTCTTTGTGTGAAACTGTTACTTAATACTGCTTTAATCATACAATTTGTGCACATCATCAAAAGACATTGCAGAATTACGTTTCTTCTACATTACATTATTTTACATAAATGATTCAGAACTTACAAGTTTTAACTGAGCTTCTTTGTTAATTAATTCCTGTTCTAATTTTTCATTCAAATCGTGGATAGATGTCGACTCTCTTTGTGCATTGAGGAACCTTTTTTCCAAGGTCGATATCCTCTGTTCTTGGTCATCTTTTTGTGCAATATTCTGAAATATACATAATAAAAACGAATTTAGATAAAATTATAAATCATAGAGAGTTAACATTAATTTTTTTTCTGTACTTTATTTGAAGTAACTTCTTCAATAAATCGTCAAGGATGTAAAAAATAAGAATAGAAATTGCATGGCTTGCTTCATTGAAGATAACTGTAATAAACAAGTAAAGAAAAACTTTTCAAAAAAGGAAGTAAATGTAAGGATGGCTAATATCAATCCTTCAAAAACAATGCTAACAGGAAAGTAGGGATGGCATTTGCATCATCCCTACATACAGGCACACAGTGTAGTAGAATGTTAACAGACAAAATTACGATAAATTAGACTCAATTGTGATTAAATAGTTGTATATATTGCTATATGTTAATTCTTGCCTGTGCTATTATGTAGGGCTGATACAAATACAATCCCTATGATCTTGTTTGCATTGTTTTTGAAAGATTGATATTAGCCATCTGTACATTTACTTATTTTGTTGAAAAGTTTTTATTACTCGTTTGCTTGTTTAATTCAGTGTTTTAATAGACATAGGAAGGTTGTATTTATAACCAAGTTATAAATACAATGATATTCCAACTGTAATATTTATTGTTTATCTATTATTGACTGATTATTCCTGTTTTACCCTGTACTTAAGCTTTTTACAACACCAAATTTCTGCAAGAAAGCTAACTACAAAGGGGGTAATGTCAACATCTTTTCACTAGAATTATGATTTTTTTTAATTATTACTAGCTAATAATACTTATAAAAGTGGATACTCCTTTTTAAACTATGTGACCTCAGTGAATACCATTGTTTGATTTTTGTGTTATCATGTAATAAAAAAGAAGTAGAAGAATGAAGAACAAAAAATTAAAACTTTTTGCCATGATATTTACAGACATTCCCAGAACTTGTCAGACTCAGTCATTACACAGATATTGTTATAAAATGAAACACTGTATAGTATTGTAAAGTTCTGATGGCCTATTGAGGAGATATTTAAAATACCATTTCGATGAACAATCCGAACCATCCCTACATAGGCAGTGCAGCCGTATGCCTAATTAAATATTGTGGATTGCTCCATTGAAGATAACTGTAATAAATTATATCATTTTTAAATTCAAACATAAATATTGTTACGACAGTGGAAGTCACGTGACGCTGGTAACATGTCATGAGATTCTCGAAGGATCGTGACTTTCCCTGGCAACTCTAGTCTTTTCCAGGCGCCCTCTATTTTAGTATATAAGCTGGCAGATAATTGCAGATAGATAGATATAGAGACAGATAATTGAGTCAAGCGAGCGGTAGTGACGGTAATATAAAGTGTGTGTTTTGTTATTGAGATTGCAGACGTATTGACTGTGGAAATTCTGTGTATTATAAAGTTGTATCGAGAAAGAATAAACTAGTTTTAATTATGAAAGGACTTGTATTGCTAAAGTTCCTCGGGAGGAATTTATACCGGAAATTAACAAACGTACAGATAGCAACAATATTACTTCTGTAATTTCAGTACAGGTTTTTATAGCTATAGATTATACAACTTTGCAAACAAAGCAAAATGGTGAGATAAGTAAAACAACAACGAAATTTTAATTATACACTTGAAAGTAATATAATATTTTGTATGGGGAGGGGAAGAGAAAAAAATACCCAAAGTTTAATTCTGCTTAAACAACAGTACTGAATTTCTGTTCACATAGTATTTAAATATCTTATGCATAATATCATGTTGACAAATAATCTCTGAGAAATAACCTGTTTATCAGCCCTAAATCTTGTTCAAGAAAAGCACGAAACTTGTAAGTAATAGATTACTATAAAAGTAAGTTTGTAAAGTCAGAAATACAGAAAAAAAAACAGTTGCAAAGTACTGGTTATACCAGAATGTAAAACGTCCCCAAAATGGCTGATTTTGTCTGATTTGAACATGGTATATATATTTATCTTTAAGTTCCTTGGATCATTACGTAGTTAAATGGGGAATACTACATACTACTTTACATACTTGTTCAGCACACATAATGCTAATCTTTCTATGTTACACTCCTCAGGGGACCCTAAGGGTACACGTCAGATTTGGTGACAATTGGTCCAGCCAGATGTTCACCAGACTTCTGACAAATAATGCTGCTTGCCTACCTCTTTAAGATCATGTTCTAGCTTCAGGTTTTCTGCTTGCAGCTTTGAGGTTTCCTTCTGTGAAGAAGACAACAGATCTTCAAGCTCTTGAATCTTGCTTCCCAGTTCTCCTAACTTCGCTCTTGCTGCTCCCAGTTCAACTTGTTGCTTCTCCAAGGTCTCTTTGAGTTCGACTACTTTGGCTGCATCTGCCACAGCTTCTGCTGATCCATTAGAAACCTAGAAATTTTCATTCATGGTTAGTATAACCAAGCTTGGATTTAGTGTGTTATCCTGTGATTATTGCTGCTGTATTAAACAGACAACAAATAAGTTAGTACTGCTTGACTAATACAAATATGAACCTCCTATGCTAAATGATTAAAATGACATAAAATTAAGGAGTATCTAACAAGATCAGTCATATTTCTATCCTCTACATAAACACCTGCAGTTACAAGTATTTCTAATTATTTTCCATTAACACGAACAATATTATTGTTCTCCAGCTTGTGTGGTTATGTTGTGTTTTAAAACATTATTCTAAACGATAATGTTATTCTAGAACTTCTGTGTTTTTAAATATAATCCATCATTCCTACTGGTGATGTATCAAATATATCGAAATCTACAAGAAGTTTCTTTTATTAATCTATTTTTCAATTTTAAACTTCAGTTTTTTATTTTCTTCCAACTTGGGTTTATATTGCTAGAAATACACACATGTACAACGGACTGCTTACCACTAATGGTTCTGGTAATTCACCATTCTCTTCGCTTTTCTTTTCCTCAGAAATCTGTAAAACTGGCTTACTTCTATGATGCTGCAGCTGCAAAAACAACATTATGTAAATAAACATATACAAACAGTAGATATTTCAACTATGAGGATAAAAAAATTCATATAAAAACAAAATTATATAAATAAACATATACAAACAGTAGATATTTCAAATATGAAGATAAAAAATTAATATAAAAACATTATGC